AAGCCCTAACTCCAGGAAAGCCGTACCACAATAAGGAAACTGTGATTCAAAAAGACTGGGGCCAATAAATATAGGAGTGGGTTACTGTGAGGTTCACTGCATGGTGACGTGAGTCTATAAGACCAGGCGGGCTGCAGTGCCTGGCCCAAGCCAATCCCTGAGTCTGGGCTACACTTTAGCACCACCTGCTGGCAACTCACCACACTAGTGCAAATAACCCGGGTAGTGGCCGGCTAAGGCCTCTGGGCAGTGTCCTCACAGCTGAGCGCTCCCAGGAGACCGGATCCACTTTGACTGAGGAAAGGGACTGCAGCTCTCAACGCCCAGGCTCCCGCAGGTGGATCTGTTAGCTGCTTCCAAACAGAACTTCTACCTTACTCTCTGCCTCGGAGGCGTTAATCCATCCAAATTTGTTTCCACGGGGCACATTTAAGGAATTTCCCAAACAACTATGGATCAACTTAAAAAAAATGAGAAAATTCTCAAAATGATTACAAGCCATCTTCCGTGGAGCTATGTCGACTGCACAACCTCAGAGAAATGGTCCTATAGATTTTAAGGGTATGACTGTTGGATAAAAATCCTCATGAAATTGAGCCACAGCTTCCGAAGTGCTCACTTGTAAAATAGTTTTGACGTTGCCTCTGCCACAGGCTGGCTGTAGGTCCCCAATTTCCCCCTAAGGTTGAGAACCTTGTGCAATTAGCCTTTAAGTCTGGCTAACACACAGACACTTCAGGAAAAAAAAAAAAAGGAAATGAATTGCATCGAGTTTCTGAATTGAAGCCTGGTCTTCTTGCAAAGTTTTCAAAACTTCCTCACTATCCATGCCGCTGTTCAATCCAGACACTTGGTGACATTAGCCACTTCTCCATCCCCAATCTAACCTCGTCACTGAATCCTGCTGGTTCTACCTAAACATCTTCCCACTCGGAATTTCCCACTCTTTATCTCCACCCTCGAAGGCTGCTAATCCAGATCCCCCAGTAATTCACATCGAGAGAACAGAAGCAATCTCTAGAGACGGACTTTCTCCCTCTAGTTTTGTACCGCTTCAATCTCTTCTCTTCTCCAGTCTTTGTAACAACTGTTCATAGGATGCATACTCTGAAAATCTTTCAGCTGCTCTCCACTGGTGCTCGGCAATGGTCCAAATGAGTGGCCTGAACCTCTTCCTTTCTCCTGTTTCATCTCTTACAACCCCCAGCCTCTCAGTCTCCAGTCTAGTCTGAATTATTTTCAATTCTGGCTGCCTCTGTGGATTTACAGATGTATGGACTCACACATATAGAGAGTCTGACACGAAGAGCAATGCAGCATGCAGTCATCCTGTGGTCCAGGTGGCAGCAAAGGCATTTGCTCTTCCTGATTCCATCGAAGGCTAGGGTAGCTACATCTTGAGTCTATGTGATGCCATAGTGTATTATCGCGCTGTTTTCTACATCATCATCATACTGATGATCATTGCTTGTCTATGTGTCTTACCTTCATCAGATCATCAGTTTTGTGAATACAAGCATATCCGGCACGTTTTATTCCTGGGGGTGCTCGAGAACCAAATGGGGTGCTGGGGATAAAACCTGGGTCAGCCACCGGCAAGGCAAATACCCCACCCGCTGTACTATCTCGCTAACCCCTGACTTGCATTTTGAATAACAAGGGTCTACAAGGTAAAGGATCCTTCTTACTTAATTACTATGTGTCTAGAAACAGTAAGAATTTTTAAAAGGATGAAGAAGGTCTCTGACACTCTCTATTCTCTCTCTCTTTCTCCAAACTGGTGGAATCCTTGCTGCCTGAGGCCAATTTACAAAGATGGCAAACTTTAGTTACACATATGAATAAATGTGGTAACAAATGAATCATAAAATGATATGACCACACAATAATACATACAATATAATCTCATTTCTGCTGAAAAATTTTGAAAAATTAAACCTTATTACTTAGTAATACTGAGTCATTAGAAAAACTAAAGTGTTTACTGGTGATCTAAATGATGGAAGTAAAGGGGAACGAAGCAAGTCATTAGCGTGAAAGAGCAGTATCAGAGTCGCTGAACAGGCTGAGTAGCCCTGGGTTCATCCCTGCACCCTACTCTCCCCTGAGCATGGACTGGGAGTCACACAGAGTTGAGAATGATCCCTGCTCAAGTGAAAGAAAAGTAACTAAACATATGGAAGGCAGAGAGTAAGTGAGCTGGTCTCAAGGGCATTTCTGTGGATGCTGGAACAGTTTGACCTCTTGATCTGAATTGTGGATAAATAGGCATTTAATCAATTAATATGCAATTCTTTATAAATGCACATGTCAAAGTAAATTTTTGGAACACCTGCTATACTTTACAAATGCATACATGTATGAGGTTAAAAAATAAAACGTTTTAAAAAGAAAAACAAAGCAAAAAGAAAAAAACTTAGTAATGACAACAAAAATCACAGCGCCCTTAGAAAATGGGGAGGAGAGACGAACAGACACTTCTGGAAAGAGGAAATTCGGAGTCAACCGGCATGTGAAAAATGCTCTTCATTACTTATCAGCAGGGAAATGCAAATCAAAACAACAATGAGTTATCACCTCATGTCAGTGAGAATGGCACACATAAAAGGACAAAAACAACAGAGTTGGCATGGGCAGAGGGGAACAGGAACCTCTATCCATTGCTCCTGGAAATGTCGACTGGTTGAACCTCTTTGGAAAACATTATGGTGACTTCTCAAAAACTAAGAATCGCGCTTCTACAGGACTGAGCAGCTCCACTTCTTGGCATCTACCCTGACGGCCCAAGGACTCCATTCAGAAAGACATTTTCATTCCTATGTTCATTGTGGCACTACTCACAATAGGCAAAATCCAGAAATAACCCAAGTGTTTAAGATAGATGGCGGTATAAAGAAACAGTGGTATATAAATGCAGTGGAATACTACTCAGCTATAGGAAAAGACAAAAATCATGTAATCTGCTGCTTGGTGGATAAAAATGGAGGACTCCATGGCCAGCGAAGTTGAGTGCAAGGAGAGAGACAGATATCGGAGGATCTCCGTGATGAGTGGAATATAAAGAAACGTAGGGAGCAACGAGTGGGCAAAGGTAACAGAACTGGGAAACTGTTCTATGGAACTGAGCTTGCCTAAGGTGGGAAGGTGGAGGGAGGGGTCCTTGGGACACTGATGGAGGGAAGTGGGCACTCTGACGATGGGTGAGGCGTTGGAATATGTATGCAGGAAACGATCATTCTGAATCACGGTACCTCAATGAAAATGGGGGAAAGCAAGAAAGCAAGGAGAGCAGGGGTCCGAGGCGGGGAGCAGGAAGGTAGGGCTGCATGTAGGAGCCCTGGAAACCAAGCCTGAGCTCCAAGCCAGCAGGCACCAACACTGTTGAGTGTGGGACAGAGAGTTTGCCATAAATTGTGTAGACCTTTTTTTTTTTTCTTCAGGGTGGGGGGAATTTGGGGGCAAGCTCAGGGGCTATTCCTGGCTCCATGTTCAGGGGTCATCCTTGGCAGTGCTCAAGGGAACATATAGGACGCTAACTGAACCGCATGTAAGGCAAAACACCTGATCCCCGTACTCTTTTTCTGACTCCATCTTATATTTTCATGAGAGAAAAAGCAAAAGCATATTGCCCAAAAGGATTTTGACATTATAAAAATCTCAACTTTATCATTAAAAAAAATTTGAAAATAACCAAAATAATGTATGCTGGTTTCTTTTTTTGATTTTATCTGTTTGGGGGCTACTCTGGCTGTGCCCAGGGGACCATATGCTGTGCCAGGGATCGAATCCGGCTGGGCTGCATGCAAAACAAGCACCGAAGTCCTCTACGATCTTTCCAGCCTATATGCTAGGCTCTACTCCAATGCCAACTCTGCCTAAACAGTTCTATTGGGGAGAGGGTGTAGAGTAGGGGTGGAGGGGGGGAGTGTAGAGGGGAAGTTGAATTCAAACGGGTTCGCTGGATGCAAGGCAAAGGCCTTAATGCCTGTACAATCTTTCCAGTTCCAGTTCTGACATCTATTTCATTAGCTGAGGACAATTTATAAAACCTTATTAACAGAGCAGCTTTTACCTTTGGAATCAATAGGTGGAAGTCTCAATATTTTTCTATATTCCTAGCAGAAATGACATGGAATCATGCTAATTAGAGAATTAAAGTCTAACCTAAAGTCATGCTTGTTGGTAAAGATGAAATTATACATTCAAGTTAGTGCTGATGAACTAGTACGACAAGAAATATAAACTTTCAAAAATATCTGAACCACAGTGATGATGTATAAATATAACTATTAAAATGTTACATTTTCTATTAATAAAGAACTCAGTACATACTGATCTAAAAGTAACTACATGAAAAAACAAAACTTTAAGGTTATCAATATGATATATTTGCTGGGGGTGGAGGGTGGCTGGACCACACCTCGGGTGCTCAGAGCTTATTTCTGGCTCTTTACTTGGAGGTATATGGCCCAGGACCACCATGGGGTTAGCCACATGCAGGGCCTTACATTCTGACTATCTCTTCAGTTCCTTATATAGTATCTTTTTTTAGCCAGCATCTAAGTGAGGCATGTAATATTTTAGTTTATCATTCCAGTCTTTAAAATTTCCTAAAGATATCTTTGACTTGTTAATTTAAAAAGTTCTGGGATCTTTTTGTCTGTCTTTTTTTTCCTTTTCATCTCTCTATCCTCAAACTGGCTGACTGAAGGCAGATACAAAGACATGTTACTAGGGTAATAACGAGATACAAATACAAAGACACGTTACTAGGGTAATAAAGAGATAATGGGCATACCAGAATAAAGAGGCCAAGAGGCTGATAAACGTGACTGTAAAATAGCTATCAACAATCTTAGAACATGGTCATTCCAGTTTTAGATTTAGGACAAGTTTTCTTTCAAAAGCCACTGTAGAATAAAAATAAAGTTTAATTTCAACCAAACTAGAAACTTGAGAGAAATGAAATAAAAAATTCTCTACTGCCTTTCTTTTTTTACCTATTTTCCCGTTCATACATTTCCCTAGAGGCACTTCGAAGTTGATCAATTTCTTGATTAGTTTTCAATTTGATTTGTTCCAGTTCATCGTGTAGTTTATTTTCATATTCGGTTTTATAATGGTCTCTGCAAGGGGGCAAAAAGAATATCCGTGATTATTAGTAAAAGAAAGAGGTTTCTGCTCTATTAAGTAACATCTTGGAATTTTATGCTCCATGTACAATGTTCCCTGAAAAACATGGTATTAGATATAAAACCAGTAATTCCTAAAAGTACTGTTAAAAATGACTCCATATAAAATTTCAACCTTTACAGCATATTTCCCCAAAGGCTTAATTACTGCATAGCATATTTTACTAATGCGAATGGCCAAAAATTTTCAAAAGCATGGATATGAGTATGTTTTACTTATAAAAATAATAATCTGGGAGCCAGAGATAATACAGTGGTTAAGATGCTTGCTTTGCATGAAACTGACCTTGGTTTGATCCCTGCTATCAGCTAAGAGTGATCCTTGAGCACAGAGCCAGGAGTAAGTCCTGAGCACTGCCAGGTGTGGCCCAACAACAACAAAACGAAAATATCTAAATAAACAGAAACATTACGTGTGTTGAGGGACAATATTTAAAAATATACATATAAAAATAAAATGACTCTAATGGACTCTACAAGCCCTTTCCTTTTTTTTTTTTTTTTTTTGCTTTTTGGGTCACACCTGGCGATGCACAGGGGTTACTCCTGGCTTTGCACTCAGGAGTTACTCCTGGCGGTGCTCAGGGGACCATATGGGATGCTGGGAATCGAACCCGGGTCTGCCGTGTGCAAGGCAACCGCCCTCCCTGCTGTGCTATCTCTCCAGCCCCAAGCCCTTTCCTTTTAAGGACAACAATCATAATTACTGTGGTTGCTTAGCAAGGGGACAACGTATTATATGGGGTATTAGCAAGAGAAATGATTGACAAAAAAAATACCACAAAGAAGGGAAAGATATAAATGCCTTAAATAGTAAAGGATCAAATTTAGAATGTTTTGTTTTTAGTTTTCTTTGGGTTACACTCAGCTGTGCTCTGGGCTTACTCCTGGCTTTGTTCTCAGAGTCATTCCTGGTGGGGCTTAGGAGACCCTTTGTGATGCTGGGAATCAAACCTGGGTCAGCCAGGGGAAAGGCAAATGCATTACCAGTTAACATATCTCTACAGCCCTTATTTAGTTTTTAATGCGCAAGCAAAAATAAATCAAGGAGGATAAAGGCTAGTCGCATTTCATAGTCATACAATCCATAGGCTCACATGATTCAATTTTCTTCAAAAATAAACTTCTGTGAAGGTACCTAAATGTTTCCAAAAATACTTAGGGAATTAAAAAAGTCATTTCATGAAAATTAAAATAGCTATAGTATAACACCCTGCCTAAAAGAAATCGAGTTTTGGTTGTCGAAAAAAGGTTTTTAAATCACAATTTCCTGAGGGGATTAAAAAAAAGCAATTTGAATAATTTATCTTTTAATAAAGCAAAGTGAACTACTGTCTCTCTTCTGGCCACACTGAGTGGCACTCAGGGGACCACATACAGTGCTGGGGATGGAATCCGGGCATCGTGCACGCGAAGAATGCACTCCAGTCTGCTGACCTAGCTCTCAGGCCCCAGGAACTATTGTCTTAATAGCATCTTTCTTTTCCCTTTTGCTTCTCTCATACCTGGTGGTGGGCAAAAGCTACTGTGCTCTGGGTTGGGTCCTGACTAAGTTACGAGGTGAAGGTGGTGCCAGGGACTCAAATCTGAGCCTGCCACATGCTCAGATACTTCCAAGTGCAGAGCCTTGGAGGTAACTCTCTGGCCCCTTTTGATATCTTCTTTGTGCAACTCAAGCAAAAATCAATAGTCTCCCCTTGAGCCAAGAGGACCCTCAAACACCTTGTTAACATATTTATGTGAAAATTTGCGTAAGGCTTGCCTTGATGTTACATATTTTTCATACATCTCTTCTCTAGCCTTTTTTATTTCTTCCAGTTGAGTCTGAAGTCTCTCGAGGCGATTTTCTTCATGAGTACAGCGGATGCTAAGTTCCATGTTTTGGCGATTAAGATAGTCTTTATCCTTTTGCAGTAGAGTGACAGTCTGCTTTAAAGTGACTACCTACAATTAAAGGGACAAGCCAGCAATCAGAGCATTGCCATCTTACTTTTCAAGGCTTACTGTACTTTTTTTTCTTATTTGTGCTTTCACCCACATCAAGATGACCAGTTACTATTTTGTGATTTTTTTTTTGAGATCCAAAAATAATTGCCGTAAGTTTCTTTTTTTCTGAAGTACATCAAAATGGGGGGGGGGGGGGGGTGGATAGAGCTCTTACAATTCACCATTGAGCAATATACAAATCACTGCAAAAGAAAATTCAGGGAACTTACCTCTTTTGATAATTCACTTCTTTCTTTAGTTTGGACTATGTAAGAGGCTTCAAGTATTTCATGTTTTCTCCTCAACTCAGTTACTTCCTGTTCAAATGCATCACGCTCACTATAAAATTCAAACACATTTATTTTTACCAAAATAAAAATTCAAATATAGGGGTGAGGAGATGGCTCGGGAGTCGATGCACAGGCTTGGCGGGTGGAGGGCATAGGTTTGATACCAAGCACCATGTGGTCCCCTGGGCAATGAACTGGAAGGAGACTGAGCACGCTGTGTGGGGCTCAACAACCACAAATAAACAACAAACACACCAAAACTAAAGGTATATATGCAGAATTCATATCCATGTTTACAAAGAATATATAAAAACGGCCTTTTGGAAACTCAGCTACTTTGGTATCATTCTATGAATCACAAAATATCTACTTTTCAGGTTTAGAAGGTGTGTTCTGTTTTAAAACCTTGTTCAGAGACATAAATGTGAACTTATGATCTTTCAAATACAAATAGATAAACTAGCTAGTAAAATAAATAAAAATTTATAATGAACACTTTTTTTTTTCCTTTTTTCACCAATCATTTCAATCTTATCTTAAGTCAAAACCTTCAAAGAATTTACACATAGCTCTAGGCTTTCAGTTAAGGTCAAAAAGTCCTTATAGCTCCTCATCCGGATTGCATAGGAGATACACTGGCAGGCATTCCTGTGACGCTTTCATTCACAAACAGATTATATAGGAATTCTAATTTCCATTTTCAGAATAGTTTTTCCCCCTCAAGACCCAAGTAGAATTCACATGGACAATTCATGGGTTAAGGGACATGCCTAGCAAGGGCTGACCAGGTTCAGCCTCTAGCACCATGGAGCTTAGCTTGGGCAAGTCCTCAGCAATAAGCTGCCGTAATATAGTAGCTGATACATATTTCACTGTCAAATTTCATCAAATGCTCCAAAAATGTTCTGCGTGGCAACTTTCTCCTGACCCTGGAGTCGACGTCTATGTCACGAACTTCATTTTAACTTCAGCAGTTCCTTTATGACATTGACCTTTGGGAGAGCACAGGTCAGTTCTTCTATGGAATGTCCCTCCATTTCCATTTGTCTGATGTTCCCCTATGATTAAATTCAGGATAAAGCACTTCGGGGAGGGATACTGCAGAGGAGATAATGTGCTTTCAGTACTTCACATACTTCACATAAAAGAATCACATGATGGTCACTTTAGCTCATCATTGATAAAAGTTATTTTGATCACTTGCTTAAGGCAGTTTCTGCCAAAGTTCTCAACTGTAAAGGTATCTTATTGCCCTTTGCAATTAAACAATCTATGCGGATGTATTTTGAGACTGTATAAAATTTTGGTTCCTAACATACTTTTACCAAATGGTTTTAGTTTTTATTGATGACTGATGGTAACCACATGATTACAAAAATGGTAACTCTGATATGCATATATATTAATATGCATACTAATATATGTATGTATATTACACACATACACACATATGTATATTAACTGGTATTTCATTGTAAAGATTCTCTTATTAGCACATACTCACATACCATGAAACCTTATTCTAGTCAAGAGATTGTAACTCCTAATTTGTTAATATTCCTTTTTATGCTCAAGTTGTACCATATTTTGCTAATTGGTGTCCCTTCTAACTGGCTGTGGTGGCACTGAATTGGATTAGAAGTATCTCTTGGATTGGAGGTATCTCCTGTAGTGAACCAAGCCATACCTCTAACTTCTCCACTACCTCTGCCTATTTTCAGGCAAGTAGAAACCAATACAGCAATGACTAGCCCCCAAATCTTAATTTCTAAGTGGCAACCCTGACTGAAAGGAACCAGGACTCCTTAGAGAAGGATGAAATGATGAAATAAACCTGAGAACATTATGTTACGCTAGAAAATACAGAACTGATTTTTAAAAGATGGGCATAGACATTATGCTTTTAAAAATTTATAATGCTGTCTGATTTATTCATATGGATACATTCTGATCTAATTTAAAGGTTTTTAACTGTTATAGAAAATTACATAAAATTACAGCGTAGAAATAAATCTCAATATATTTTCCATTCTGTTGTTGAAAAGCATCTGGATTCTAATAATAAATTAAGATCCATATCCCTGTTTCCTCTGCACATTTGTAAAAATTTATCAAGGACATGAAAGTGATTTTCTCCAGTCTACTTAATTTCTTTGTGGCAGAGTACTTTTCAATTTCTCTCTGTTGGGTGAACTCAAAGTTCACAGTGTGATTCTCTTATGTCTGTCTGTTTCTCTGTTCTATTTTCAGCACATGAAGATGTTTAGGGTTGTGTTTTTAGTACAAAAATATGAAAGATATAGAGAGAGATGTTAAAGATACATACAGGATATACAAATCAATGTTCTTCACTCTTAATTAGCTAGCTTAATGGCTTCAATTATTATCAGCTATGAACCATCACCAGCCCTGATGATTCTGATTATTCTTTTTTCTCCTTTATAAAAAATAAAATTTTATCTTTTGTCTTTCATAGGTTGTTTTTGCTATCAATTTAGACCGATGCAAAGAATATCACAACCTCAGCTTCTAGCATCATGCCAGACTGATCATTTTGAAATGATTTTTTTGAAATCATTTTTTCAGAGATGACCAAATACCAGTTTCAAGAATTTAAACTTTTAACAATGACTACACTGGCAAGCTCCCCGTGATGTATTCGATATGCCAAACACAGTAACAACAAAGTCTCCAATGGAGACGTTACTGGGCCTGCTCGAGCAAATCGACGATCAACGGGAGGACAGTGGCCGTGACAGTGAACAATGACTACACATTGAGACAGCAATACACATATAGCATTATACACCACAGACTAATTATGTTGGCAGTTGGAACACTGACACCGCCACATCCGTAAAAATTTACTTAAGGTGTTATGCAGTTTATTCACTTACTTAACAAACATTACTTCAAGATTTTAGGCACAAGTTAATATAGTAATCTATAAAAGCACAGCGGTAGGGCATTTGCCTTGCACGCAGCCAACACGGCCAACCCGAGTTCGATTCCTCCGCCCCTCTCGGAGAGCCCGGCAAGCTACCGAGAGGATCTCGCCCGCACGGCAGAGCCTGGCAAGCTCCCCGTGACGTATTCGATATGCCAGACACAGTAACAACAAAGTCTCCAATGGAGGCGTTACTGGGCCCGCTCGAGCAAATCGATGAACAACGGGAGGACAGTGTTTGTTTGTGTTACTTTGTGTGATGATGACAGATATTTCAGAATTAGATAAAGGCGATGCTTGCTGCACAGCATTCGTCTGTCTGTCTGTCTCTGTCTGTTTCTCCCCTCCTCCATTTAAGACATTGTTTTGCAATACTGAACAGTTATCTTATATATATATATGTGTATGTATATATATATACACACATACATATAGTAAAGGCCCTCCCGTTGATCATCGATTTGCTCGAGCGGGCCCAGTAACGTCTCCATTGGAGACTTTGTTGTTACTGTGTCTGGCATATCGAATACGTGACGGGGAGCTTGCCAGGCTCTGCCGTGCGGGCGAGATACTCTCGGTAGCTTGCCGGGCTCTCCGAGAGGGGCAGAGGAATCGAACTCGGGTCGGCCATGTTGGCCGCGTGCAAGGCAGACGCCCTACCCGCTGTGCTATCGCTCCAGCCCTATACATATATATACTGAACAGTTATATATGTGTGTGTGTATATATACTGAACAGTTATATATGTGTGTGTGTGTATATACTGAACAGTTATATATATGTGTGTATAGCACAAGGGCTGGAGCCATAGCACAGCGGGTAGGGCGTCTGCCTTGCAAGCGGCCAACATGGCCGACCCGAGTTCGATTCCTCTGCCCCTCTCGGAGAGCCCGGCAAGCTACCGAGAGTATCTCGCCCGCACGGCAGAGCCTGGCAAGCTCCCCGTCACGTATTCGATATGCCAGACACAGTAACAACAAAGTCTCCAATGGAGACGTTACTGGGCCCGCTCGAGCAAATCGACGATCAACGGGAGGGCCTTTCCTTTACTTACTTTACTTATAATAAGAATGATTTATTCTCCTGCCTCTCTGTGCACACTCATAAATTTATGCGTTTATAGTTAAAGACTTTTACAAATATTTCTTCATTTGATCTTCTTAGTTATAGAGGGCTTATTTTATATACAGAACTTAACAGATATCAAGAACAACTCATCCATGACAAAACTCTGGCTTAGACTGATATAAACTTTACTAAGGCTAGAGAACTAAGTAGTAGCTTATTAAAATTACTACAAATAATAAAAATATATAGTGCAAATAAAAACCAAAAATAGTACAAATAATAAAAATATATAATCCAGTAAAGGGAACTCAATATGCTATAAATACTTAGTAGCAACAAGCTGGGAAATATTCTCAAAAGGTGCTATTTTTGAAAATATGTGCTTTTTTTTCAGGAGTAGCTGAAAACTCAGATAAAACTATCAAGTATTTAAATTCATTTCACTAAATAAAATCAAGATTTTAAAAAAAATTAGTTGTGTACAGGAGATTTTACTAGGTTCCCATCTCCTAAGATATCACATTTTGAAAGAGAGGGAAAAAAATATGGAGACAGAGAAAAACACAAGTTAATCATTTATTACTTATTCGCTTATTACTGAGGTTCCCGGCAAGCTACCGAGAGTATCTCGCCCGCATGGCAAAGCCTGGCAAGCTCCCCGTGGCGTATTCGATATGCCGAACACAGTAACAATGGTCACAATGGAGACGTTACTGAGCCCCGCTTGAACAAATCGATGAACAATGGGAGGACAGTGACAGTGACTGAGGTTCCGCGTTTTACAGCAGCGTTTGTGTCTATGCTTTAGGTGTGTAGTGCTACTATAACCCCCCTACCACCAAGTCCTAATATCCCTCCACCACTCGGCCCTAGCTTAGACACCCCAGGTTCCCTACTCCCTGCATGCCCCTTGCCCTTCCACACATACACACTTTGTAAGCTCAGGTAGGAGCAATACTGATAGTGAGAATTAAAACAAAAAAGTAATAATGCAGGTGCCTTTCAGTCACGCTACAGGTGAGAAGTCCACCAGCCGTCTCAACTACTTACCCCTTAACTTTATCATAGTTCTCCTGACGGTAGTCACCTTGCTGAATTAACTGTTTTGTGTCTGCCAATTCTAAGGCCAAGCGCTGGCACCTAATTTGAAGCTCCGAGCAGTTTCTTCGATCTTTCTCATTAGCCTATGGATCAAAACAACAGAACATTTGAAACTTTACATTTCCAAATTTCTGCACTAAATTCTTCTGTAAACTGTGAATGTCTTTGCAATTTAAAAAAAAAAAGTCTTACATTTTTTTTATTCAGTAACTTTTCCTTAGTCAAAGACAGGAAATTGTTCCGGGGCCATTCCCAGTCGTGCCAGAGGGGCATGGACCTATGGTGCTGGGGACAGACCTCAGGGTACCACACATGCCAGGGGTGTTCCCTACCATGAACTATAGCCCTTGTTCAAAGACAGGTAATCTGAACTCATGGAGGAGTTTCTAAATTCATTTCTTTAAAACCAGAGCTCTGTTCTTCATAGAAAATATAAGGTAAGAATAATTCAGCTACCAGGATAATACATAAAATGAACACTGATACTGAATGACATTTTCAACATTTACTGAGCTACTATTAGATGCTAAAGACAGGAAAAAAAAATACCTGTGGTTTTTTTTCGTGGTGTTTTTGTTTTGTTTTGGGGGCCATGCTCAGTGAGGCTTAGGGGTTACTCCCCACTCTACACTCAGGAAGACCCTCCTGGAAAAATCAAGAGACCATGTGGGATGCTGGGAATCAAACCTGGGCCAGCTGTGTGTGAGGCAAGCATCTACCCACTGTCCTATCTCTCTGGCCCCAACATTCTCTCTTCTTCACGAGCCACAAAACAAAAATCAACAGTCACATGAGCACCAGATCTATATGATGAAGAATAGTTACTGAGGCTACTAATCATTTGCCTTTGGTTGTCATATTGAACAACAGAAGAAATTTCGGGAACATATGACTCTTTCTCTCTTCTGGTCACCTGACCAGAGGAAAGAAACTGGAGAAATATAGGAGGTGGGAGTTTGGTATAAATGAATTATAACAACCTGGTGCCTGAGAGACAGCTCAAGGAGCGGAGAATAGGCTTTGCATTCTCCGAGTTCCGAGCTCCGAGTTCCACCCCCAGGGCTGTACGATCTGAGCACAGAGTCAGAAGTAGCGCCCACCACTGCCCCGTATGGCCCAGAAAAAAGAAAATATCAGAACCAGATCATCCTTACAACACTATTTCTCATGCACCTGAACTTCCTGAATATACCATGCTTCCTCTAACTATTCTGCCTGTCTGAATCACTATATTTTATCAGAATTTTTCAGTGATTTCATTTCACTGATCATTCTGTATCATCAAATTCATTTTCTTTTTCAGGTATGTGTAGCCCTGAAATTAGTTTTCCATTTTCTTTGCTGTTGTTGTTTTGGGGCCATATCCGTTGGTGTTCAGAGGCCCACTTGCAGCGGGGCAGGGATGGAAGCCAGCTCAAATTAGTTTTCTAAATACCTTATCGGAATGTAAACATCTAAAGGGCAGGGGCTGTTTCTGATTCATCACTGCTTCTGCATTACTTTACACAGAAAAGGATGACAGACATGGGTTTGAATAAACAAAGAAATAAATGAATATGGCAATGAGGAGAAGCAGGGTAGAGGGACAGAGTTCCCACTTATTTCTCCCCTAATAACTCATCAGCTTTTCCAAGCCCCTCACCACCGCACTCCAGATCCGATTCTGCCATATTAGTAATATCCTGTCTTGCCCCAAGTTATTTCTTTGTCAACAGCAGACCAGTTAAGTGTGGTGACATTCATTCCACAGATACTGGTGGAATTATTTCTAAGTGACTGGTCTGGGGCTAGATATTATGGACACAAAGAGAAGCAAGGCAATGCTTTTGTCTTTTTACAGTTAAATATAAGTTTGAAAGGTTCCCTTCCAAATTTCAGTAACAGAGCCGTTTGATAAATGTACGTGGTATTTATAATAGAACCCGAGTTGAAGTCCCTCTATCACATCCCCGAAGGATATCACAGTCATCATTTCAGACCTAAATCACCGAAGATGCTTTAGTTCCCTTGAAACAGACTATACCCCTGGATGAGAAGAGTCTGGGGGGGGGGGGGGGGTGGCAGAGGGAAATGGCACTCTGGTGGTGGGTATGTGCCCTAACATTGTATGCCTACAACACTAATATCGATACTACTCTAAAGCATGATACCTCAATTAAAAATACTTCTTGGGGGCTGAAAAGGCAGCCTAGCAGTAAGCCTTTTCCTTACACGTGTCTGACCCCGGTTCAATGCCCCACTCTTTCATAAAGTCTCTTGGGCATAGCCAGGAGTGATCCCTGAGCACAGAGCCAGGACCTGAGCAAAGTCAAGCGTGACCCCAAATGCAAAAATATTAAAAACTAAAAAAAAAAAGACTTTCTGAGCGCTAGAGAGAGTATAACGGGTAAATGCTGCCTCTGAGTGCAGCTAACCCAGGTTTGGTTCTCCGAGCACTATCACGGTTCATTTCTAAGCACTGAGCTAAGAAAAGCCCAATGTTCCCTCCCCCATACCCACTACTTGGTAAATACATGTAAACATTAATCATGTAAATACTATGGAAAAGTGCAGCGCTATAGTTACGAAGACGAGATCCATAATTCACTTCTCCAGAACTGAATGATCTGCAGTAATTACCCAGGTGGCTTCGCCTCTGAGTACTTTAGTCTCCCTTTCAGAGGGGGTGTTGTAAAGTGTACACAAGAAGTACACAGAGACTCCTTACAAAAATGCCTGACACATAATAAATAATTAACGAAATCATATCATTGTCATGTTGCTTCTTTGCTTTGGATTCCAAAGTCCACAACACGACTTTTTTTTTTTTTTAATTTTTATTAGTGAAACACCATGAGGTACAGTTGTGGACTTACAAGGTTTTGTGCTTGGGTTTCAGTTATACGATGATTGAGTACCCATCCCTCCACCAGTGCCCACTCCCCACCTCCAATGCTCCCAGAATCCCTCCCACCCCCATTCCCATCCCACCCCATCCCATCCCTGTGGCAGGGCATTCCCTTTTGTTCTCTCTCTCCTTTTGGGTGCTGTGGTTTGCAAAAGAGGCATTGAGTGGCACAATTCGACTTTTAAGACTGCACAAAGACCAAGGCAGTATCTGGAGGAATCTAAACATGCAGAATGTAACACTAAAGGTGAACAAGGGGCAAAGAGTCCCAGGAACCTGGGATAGGATTCACAGCAACAAAATGTGAGGTCGTAAGGGATAGCTCAGTGGCTCGGAGCACTTATATTCCAAGTGTAAGGCATGGGTTCAGTTCTTGGTGCTGCAACATGGAACATATATAAATCGGTGAATTCTAAACTTTTCTCCATTGAAATAATTAGTACAACTACCATATCGCTGGAGCACAGTGGATAGGGCATTTGCTTTGCACGCGGCTGACCCGGGTTTGATTCCTCTGTCCATCTCAGAGAGCCCAGCAAGCTGCTGAGAGTATTCCACCCACACGGCAGAGCCTGGCAAGTTCCCCGTGGCATATTCAATATGCCAAAAAAACAGTAACAACAAGTCTCACAATCGAGACGTTACTGGTGCCCGCTCGAGCAAATCAATGAACAATGGGGAGGACAGTGCTACAGTGCTACCATATGATCAAGCAGAACTTCAGTGAAAGCATATGCATATAAATATGTGTATATATGTATACATACATGCACATGTGTGTATACATGTAAATATATTAAGAGGATATATATGTATATATATCCTCTTTATAAAGTTTTTCAACTGAAAATATGCAAAACTCTCCAGAATTTAGATCTCAGAGGTGTCTTCAATGATTCAACTGAGACTAAAAAGTTTCTGCATGGCAAAAGGCATGTGGGCTAAAATAAAGACACCTTACTGAATGGGAGAAAATATTTGTACACAATATATCAGACAAAGAGCTAATGTCCTGTCCAAGATATATAAAGTACTCACAACATCAACAAGCAGAGACAGTACAGGAATTGTCTCGCATGTGGCTGACTTTGGTTTGATCCCTGGTTCCACATATGGTTCCCCCAGGTACCGCCAGGAGTGACCTCTCCTACTCAGCAGCTATCCAGTAGCTGCGAGCCAGCACCAGCCTCTGAGCACCACCAGGTGTGACCCCAAAATAAAACAAAAAGTACAAACCATCAGTAGCCCCATCAAAAACTGGGGAGAGGAGATGTACAGATGCTTCCCTGAAAAGAATATGAAAAAGTGTTCAGAGTCACTTGCTAACAAGGAAATGCAACCCAAAAGATGGTAAGATGACATCAGTAGGATGGCACATATCAAAAAAGACCAAAATCAATCAGTGTTGGCGGAGATGTGGTGAGAAAGGAGCCCCCTTACTGTTAGTGGGAAAGCTGCCTGGTTGACCCTTTATGAGAAACAGTATGCGGATTTCTTAGAAACCTAAAAACAGGGGGGCCAGAGCGTTTGCCTTGCACGCAGCTGACCCGGCATCCCACATTCTCCCCTGAGCACTGCCAGGCATGATTTCAGAGCGCAGAGCCAGGAGTAAACTCGAGCATCACTGGGTTTGACCCAAACACCAAGGGAAAAAAAAATCCTTAAGAATAGAATTTCCATATAACCCAGTAATCCTATTTCTTGGTATCTCTTTGGAGGACACAGAAACGGTGATGCAAAAGGATGCATCCACACCAATGTTTACTGGTGTGCCTAGTACAACAGCCAGACTATGGAAACACACAAATGAATGGATAAGGAATGAATGAGCAAACTGCGGTATGCATGACAGAGGAATACTACGGAGCTACACGCAATGATGACATCTTTCCCCTGGCTGCCACAGATGCAACTAGAGGGCATCCTATGAAATGAAGCCAGAAAGAGAAGAACAAATACCACATGATGGCACTCATCTGCGGTATACAGAGAAACAAAACAAGGCAACAGATGATAGTGAATAAGGACAACCTTTGGTTTCTGACTGCAACTGAGATTACTAAATCGTGGGAAGAGGCGGGAGAGGTAGAAGCAAGAGGTGGACTAGAGGTGATCTAAGGGCAGAGGTGGAGTTCCTGGACCATTTGTGTGGAAAAGTGTAGCAGTTCTGTTATCAAAACCATGATCATTAACACT